AGACCGAAATGAAATGAAATGAAATGGAGTTTAACGTCCTACTGTTTTGCTCCGAACTGGGCTAATGAAGACGGGCCGAGTAGACCGGGTCTCTGGAGAAAAACAAGTACCCTGGCATTGAGTTGGTATTTGTGGATTTTGATGATAGCTCTGGTATAAGGCGGATGGGGATGAGTCGGGTTTAGTTGGTGGAATAGCTGGTTTGAAATCTGATTCTGATCTTTAAGCGATTTGCGGTTTTTCAGGTGCTTCGTTTGGTAGGTAGAAATGGGAGTCTTTCCTTAAAGATACATTATGGGAGATTAGATAACGAGTTGGCAGTTCTCACTATAATAGTTCAAAGCTAGATAAACGTAATGGCAATTTGCTGAAAATTTCATTCAAATTGATCCACTATGACCAGAGAATTAAGTGATTGAAATTTCCGCCTAGCCTCGATCATCATTACTAAAGTCCGTATGATAAACAACATAGTCTCGATTATCCATTTAATCATTAAATCGTGAAGGAAAATTATGCAGTAAATCGGCTCATAAACCACTAAAGATCGCAGGCTAGCGATGCCATCGAGGGTTGATTATGGCCTGGATAGGTTAATTAATGTCTAATTAATAATTTAGATAACATTTCAGGACTAAAGAAAGACCTGCAATAGACAGATTTAGCTCTTGCATAATGTATGTTTAATCTTTTGTAGGTGGATTGGTCTTGAAGCAATGTATTGGGTACCCATTATGACCGTTTCCCCCCTTTGTCCGCAAGTACTATGGTGATGTCTTCGTCTTCTTTAAGTTCTTTGAGGGTTTCACATTCGGTTTAATGAGGATGTTGGGTTGTTCTGGGGACTTGGAGAGGATGTTGGCGATCTAGTGCCGTAGATAGTCGGCGCTACCCCCTGGTGCTAATTGGCGTAGTCTCTTCTCAATGCTAGCGATGTAATCAGTATAATTCTTGGACTTGGCGGTGAGAGTAAGTAGGAGTTCACGTAACAGTAGGGAAATTCGGACATCTGTGAGGAGCCATTGGCTAAGATTAATGAGAGTTTTGTTAATGCATTATCCTTTGCTGTTTTGGAAGTAAGCAGGATTGGTTGGATGTTGGTTGCTGCTTTTCAATTGGTTGAGCTGGTGACGCTTATATATTAGACACTGACTGGCTTTGTAGAGAATTTTCAGCGCGGCTGATAACACAACTAGTGACTTGAGGGCGAATCCTTTCGACACTAAACAACTGTCTCTTCATGGCATAAAAAATGTTAAACTGTTACACACATTGACAGATTTACCTTCAGACTTACTAATCTGGTTGATGAGATTGACTGCCACATCTCCTTGGTCATGACGAATAAATTGTTTAAGCGGCATTTAGTAACTGAATGAAAATATCACATGACCCTATTATATGGAATAGAAGTTACTTAAAAGGTTTATTTCTTTCTGGCGACTTTTAAGCAGCATTTAGTAACTGAATGAAAATATCACATGACCCTATTAAATGGAATAGAAGTTACTTAAAAGGTTTATTTCTTTCTGGCGACTTTTCCACGTGAACCTCTCGTCTTTATCAAGCAAATAATGATAACCATAATACAATATGGAACAATGAAAACATTAATATACAACGATAAATAGTCATTTAGAAACCATCAAAGGGGGCGAGAAGATATATGTACACCTGTATTCCATGTAATTGTGACATGTGTTAGACCCGATTTACTTACAAGTTTTAATTATTAATTTGCTCACACTTTGATGTGTTACTTAGTTTAATCAAGGCATACATAACATGAAAACTCGTATTAAATATAAATAATCATCAGTGCCGGATGTACCTGCCTTATCAAACTGAAGTTACAATGAACCTTTCTTACGCGCAATGTAATTAATTAAATTTTAAACACTCTTACATTTACCCGATAATAATTATTTACAAAATTGCTAAAAAGTAGTTGAACCCAGTCCTGTACTTCATTCTCAATTTGTAAAAGTGAAAGCCTTAGCGGGGAGATAACTCTATAATATATGCGCCGATTAAGAAACAGAATAGCTATAGAAAAAAAATACTTATAGACCATAAGCTAAAGATAGATAACTTTAAAGCGTACTTTAATTACTTGAACCCATTTATAAAGTATACATAAAGAATAGGTTTGATGGGATGGGAAAAGTGCAGTGAAAACATTCCAGAATCTCAACACAATTCTTAACAGAACTATAAGAGAGAGAGAGAGAGAGAGAGAGAGAGAGAGAGAGATAAATGGGGTTTAACGTCCACTCGACACAAACTAGGTCATTTCGGGACTAACATGGTTTAATTTTATTTCAATAATTCGCTTGCCCGTAGGGGTCTTTAGCAGTGGGAGGACCGGAGGAACCGGAGAAAAAACATGAGGTTGGACAGGCGACGCCAGTTAACTCAATGACAGGCCTTATGATACAGCGCGCACGTGCTAACCATTCGGCCATCCAACGTTCCTCAGAAATCGTCTGCCGATCAGAGCAAGTAACAACAAAGATACAAAAAGTGAGAATCACTAAGTTATCAGATTTTTAAAATGAATTTTAGACAATTTGTTTCATTAAGAATTTTGGACTAAAGAATTTTCCACAAAAGTATTTAAAACCGGAAAACAGCAAACTGCTTAAATGAGGAGTCCCAACTGTTGTAAAAATGGTACCACCACTCCATCCTAAATTGTCTCGTTATCGACAAAACAGGGACTATTAGTCTGGACACAATGATATCCATTACGTACATGGTAAAGGTCCCGTCACACTTATTCGCAATCAGCAGGACCCAAGCATTTATCGTAGCAATGATCTCTGTGTTGAAATTATATTTGGAACGTGTTTCACCAGTTCTATCACATATGTGATAATGACTGACACCAGTATTGTCCTTTACGTACAGAATGAATAAAAACAAGGCAATGCACGAGCGATTTATATTTTTCTCGTGACAGCCAATTCTTTTTTTTTTAATTGTCAGATATCCTCTGACAGTCTCATTAACACCTTTTCATCTTCAACGAAATTATCAGTTAAATTAAATTCGACCATGTGTCTGTTATCGCTCGTTACTTCAGTCAGTTATATAAAAGGATAACTCATGTTTGTCATTTATGGCGGTCTTTTTTAAATGTTCGTTACACAACTACCGTAGCAATGATCTCTATGTTAAAATTATATTTGGAATGTGTTTAACTAGTTCTGTCACATATGTAATAATGGCTGACACCAATGCTGTCCTTTAACTCTCAGCCAATCGTATATTCATGACCTATGACACCGTATGCCAATTTAGTGCTATTTTGTCCAGACTAATATTCACCGCAGTCGGGGACAATTGGGGATCTTGTGGTCGAGACTACAATGGACACGGTCCATCATTACAACCACCAAGAGAATTCGTACGATTAGCGTCTTATTAAAATAAGACGAAAACAATTTCAGGAAATCTAATTTACATCCTCATGCAAGTACACGAATATCGAGGAATATCACTTCGGGACATATATCACCGTCGTAATTCGCAAATATAAATCAATATCATTATTCTACAACTATATATATTTTTATTTTATGAATTCAAATTTAGAAATCTAAACTTAAATTGCAAACCTATTTTTCTGTAAGTTAAAAATCCGAGATTCTCCGGTTCCCTCCAACATTAAAGATACATTATGGGAGATAAGATAAAGAGATGGTAGTTCTCGCTATAACAGTTAAAAACTAGATAGTGTAAAGGTAATTTGCTGAAAATTTCAGTCAAATTGATCCACTTTGAGCCGAGAAAGAAGCGGGTTAAATTTTTGCATAGTCTCGGTCATCATTACTAAAATCATTAATATAAACAGCATAGTCTCGATTATCCACTTTTATTGATTTAATTATCAATAGCCGTTAGCGGCATATATGAATCTAATCCAGCCAACATCGAAGGCTAGCCTTGACATCGAGAGTTTATTATGGTCTGGATAAGTTAATTAATGTCTAATTGATAATTTAGATAACATTTCAGGCCTAAAGAAAGACTTGTAATAAGCAGATTTTGCTCTTGCATAATGCATGTTTAAAGGAGCTAAATGGCTAATAAATGGGTCGCAAAATGAATGTATATAAATCGATTTACATTCAATCGTTTCCGTTTTACTTTAATTTCAAGTCAGTTATGTTCGGCGAAATACGCCAGAACTCCCAATCGAATGTCAATCTCTAGCATCTGGTTATTCCAGTCTACATCGATAGTTTTATTGCGCATGCTCTCCAGATAAGAATATGGCGCCACCGCTTGACGTGACTTGTGGAATATCTCTAGCCTGGTTCTTCGAGACCCTTGTTACAAATAGCACTGAAACGCATTATGGTGCACGATTCGTGTACCAATGGTAAAATGTTTATATCGTCTTAAATATTGGATATCAGAAGCTCATCTTTACTCGGAAAGATCACAACATCAATGTTGATTTAAACTGACAAAAAATTTGTGTTTTCAATGTAGAAGACTTTGGATGATATTGGGTTAGTGACTTAGCTACTTCAACATTCATTATGACTTATGGAAAACTAAACCGTGCCAATTGATTCAATGAAACTGAGAGTTTTTTTCTTGACGCTATACAAGCACCTAGTACAATAATCGATTATTGGAAACCAATATCACCATAGTACATTACAAGGCGGGATAATGTTTATTTTATTATTACACGATGTGTCAAACCGATAAAACACTTAGCTGGAGTTTTTGAATAAATATACCAAGTTTCTAAATCAAGATATCAAAAAATACTGATATACCACACATATTATTCAACCTATAATTACATCTTTGATCTTTGCGTAATGTTATTGATTAGAAATCAGTCTAATCGAACAAGCTCTTCTTGGCGTGAACAGGAATGCTATGGTGAGAAACTTCAGAAGCAAACTCGCTTGTCACCAAGCCAAAGATCCATCTTGCTCAGTTAATATTGCGTGCTGGCGCTTTATTATAGACTCTCCAGTAAGAGCAATGACGCGTGCATGATAACATCGGCGACAGTTGATTAAGGCGGACGATTTGTGATGAGCACCATTCCTTCTTTTCAACCGGACATTGGCTGATGGGTATTCTGGGTTTCCATGGAATTAGGAGGAACATGTATTTTTAATCCGTGGAAAGCCACATGTTGCCGTTTAGCGGTCGATCACAGTATTTAGATCGCATACAAACTATTAGGATAAACGGACTTCACGTCTAGGTAAGATAAGTTTCTTGTTGAGATTATTATTGTAACAAAGCCATCGTGTTCTTTCTTAAATACATATTTATGATATTGGTTATTGTGCCTGATTATTATAAATTAATAATCAATATAAGAAAGATGATGATCTTTGACAATGATATCTATAATAGTTCTGTGCTATAGCTAGGGTATTTATAATATTACTGGTATGTTCATATTTTAATAACTTGTTCTTGAGCACTGCGTAGTTAATTAGTATTTGTTCTATTGATAACAACAATACGTATGATTTAAAGGTCGAGTAATCAAAACAGAACGACCCGGGCTTTATTTTATTGTATTTTGTCAAAAGGTTTCAATGATGCTTTGCACCAATGTTTTATGGTTACGTTTTTTCTTTCTTCATTATTTTGGTTGGAAGATAATGCCACGAAAATATAATCTCTAATTATCAATTACATTTCATTTAGGGGTGGGTTGGTGGTGGGTGGTGGCGGGGGGCTGAAATAATACAAAACGTGTATATCTTTAGACCTTCCTATTTGCTGCACTGTAGTTGCTGATTTTAATATGAGAACCCTTTTACTTTATAATTGAATACGAATTATTTGTTTTATTAATTATTCAAAATTAATTAGTGACAGTCGGTTTCAGCAAAAATCAATCTAGTCTATGATTTCACAATGAGTAGAGTATGTTTTTGGTATCGATTGTATCTAGGCTACCAATAGTCTGGAGAAATGGCAGGTCGTATGACACACACTAACGCGAATTGAATGAAGGCGCGCTAAAAAAAAAAGTACTAAAATTGATTTTAGTAGCGGGCATCGTTATCTGTCTATAGGTGGACCATATCTTTAATATTCATGTGATCGATTCTAATTTTTAACTTTTATCCATCACTGTCAATGATTCAATGTGGGCATTTTGTCTTTCAAACAACTAAACGATACGCTTGAAATAAAGTTTTAATTTATGGAAGAATTGTCTTTTGTGCAACGAAGAATACTTATAGTTTATAGCGTTTTCTCATTGTTCTAATATCAAACCATCGTATAAGCCAAACGGCTATTTCTTACTTATTAAAGCCTATTCAATATTTTCTCGGGAAGCGAGAAGAATGCCAATTTCAGTTGATAGATCATTTCTCATTACATTCCCCTCTCGACCAACGGTACACACGAAGACATTGATTGTAATTATATCCAATTAGAAGATGGCCTCGGTACTGTTGATTTGAACTTTGTAAACGACGTATTAGTATCAAAATCATTAGCAATCTGAAATATTGTCAGAAAAATGTACTGATCGATTAATTTACAGTACCGTAGAGATAACGATGGAATTAATGAAATTGTACAAAAAAAAAACTACTGTCTGTTCCAGGAGATACTTCAACTCAAAAATTGCTTGCCATTTCTTCAATTTTAATTTAAATGGCGAAAACTTATTGACATACCTTGAATTGTCACCCCGTTACTTTGTTCGTCGAGCTTTAAAACCTAGTAGTATCGATAAAATCCATATTTCTCTTGTAAATTTCACATAGTTCGACATTGTCCCATTCTCGGAACATAAACATTACGACTGCGTCTGCGTAAAATGAGACACTTGTATATCGGATAAAGGCTAGTAAGGGATCTACAATTCGGGTGCATTCGGTTAGAAGTATTTAGTGAAGGAAAATTTACCGTTTGTTTTGCGACAGTAATACTTATTTGGGTTTCACACTGGGAAGCTTGTGTAATACACTATTTTTTGGTTCGGATTATATTATGTTCTATTTCCACTTGGCTTATTTCGCAGAAACTGCTCATTGAGAACAAGATCTGGAAATATGAGATTTGCCCAAACGCTTTGTTAGTTTTCAAAAGTAAATAGGTACTTATCGGGCTGTAAATAAATATAAAACAATATATTTATCTAAATTATCTCCCTTTGGCGATGCATTTTTTAGCGGAAAAAATATATAATAATTATCCGATTGACACAGAATTGGTGGCATATAATACACCATGACACCAGCTATAATAATTATTGATGCAAAATACTATTTTATTACAATTTAGCTGATATATATAGATAGTCCTAGTAAATAAGCAGGGCAAGGCGGGGGGCGATTTTCGAATTACGTTTTCCAGCAGTTTTTATTTAAAAGTTAAAACATAACCATTTTCAAAGGCATATAACTTTTTCATTTTCATTTTTTAATATTTTTATTCTAAACTTTCGTAAACACGATGGGCGGATATATAAGATCTAACGAAATCCATGAATCATTTTGAATTTTTGCTATTTCCGAGAAAAGGACAATTTCACTCATCGAAAAGCCTAAATAATGCGAACATATAGATATCAAAAGGTGGTATATAACTTGAGGCAATTGTCTAAAAGTAACTTTTTACGTTGTTTTGTCCAACACATTTATTTATAGTGATTTTGAAAAAGAAAACTATATTTTTAATCTTTAAAACACACATTTTTCTTTAGAGTGTTATTCGTTACTCTTTAATAATACTGTTTGCTAGCTTCCTTGCAATTTTCGAGTCGGGATATCTCCTGGAACAGACAGATAACAGACACTATTCAGAAAATTGGAGCAACTTTGCAATTAAGTGTAACTGACAATAAATACAATGGAGAAGAAATCTGTGAATCTGTTTCATTAGTACGGGAAGTGGCGTCAGTTAAAGGGCAACGGACACCGGCGAAACCAGTCATGCTGCATCGCAGTCATATTTTTGATTATTTTCGGACGTATTTCTAATCCTTTCTTGCAAAATAAATGTATTCTTACAACAGCAATATATTTGGCTTTCGGTATTTTAATAGTCCTCACAGTTGACTGGACCATAGATATTCTTGATTGATACCAAATTGTACTCCACATAACACTTATTGGCATGTTGACCATGTTCTTGCAAAATAAATGTATTCTTACAACAGCAATATATTTGGCTTTCGGTATTTTAATAGTCCTCACAGTTGACTGGACCATAGATATTCTTGATTGATACCAAATTGTACTCCACATAACACTTATTGGCATGTTGACCTTTAGGATCAAGTGTAAATTTTGTACAATATCTTATCTTACAGGGGGAACCACGCCGGAAAATCGCGATGAACTTTCTCGGTCAACGCAGGGATCGAACACGGGACCTCCAGACTACCGAGCCAACGTTTTACTCACCGAGCCACCGTGGCTCCCGGTTTCAGTAGGAATAAGAAATGAAATGAAATGAAATGTTGTTTAATGGCACGCCAGCTCCAACCGGGATATATTGCGCCAAACATATGGTGATTATTTCGAGACAGGCTAAATTATATCACAGTATAAATTACATGCATAAATAAAAACAATATCACAGTAAGTAACATTTTAAAAAAATACATCTTTTGAACATATAACTATCTAAAATACAGAAATGAAATAATATATAAATACAAATTAAAATTTATTTTAAAAATCTGCCTCTTTTAAAAAGTCTAAGACTTTACCATATAAACCCGGTTGGGCAAACATGTGATGTAATGACTGACAACGGTAAAACTGCGATCTAATATCCTTAAGATGCTTGGACTCAATCAAAATGGGCTTAACTGTCAAAGGAACATGACAGTGTTCACATTCTGGTTGAGGCTCTCGCTTTAAGATGAAAATATGCGTTAAAAGAAAGTAGGAATAAAGCTACCTATACAATTAGATTGATCATCCTTCCAGGCTTCCAGTCTAAACTCGAGTTTAAAATTCCGAGAGTTCTCAAGGCAAATATTAAGCGAAGGAATAGCTATACAAACCGCCATGACTATTGACCGAATTATTATTAGGTATGTCCTATAGCCTCCTTCCAAATTTCCATCACGTGTCAGTTCAGATTAATCTTTATATGTAATTTATACCAATATTAAAACGTTGCAGCCCTCGAACTGGGGCCAATTAAATATCCAAGTCAGCGGGACAAACAACCGTGGTCTCGGATCCCGTAAATATCGTTTTAGAATAAATTGATATATTTTACTTTCCGGCCCAGGACACCTCACTAATGACAAGATTGATCCTGCTGTGACACAAAAAAGAACTTACGCAGTATGGAAACTTGGATAACTAAATTCAGACCATTTTCCCATATGGCCTCAATGATTGATGTAAAAACATTGATTATAACAACCCTGATGAAAACACTTTGATTACAAGAAATTGTTATAAGAAACGATCATAATTTTCAAAATAAAAAACATTCTATAAAAAAAATCGAAATTACAAAAAGACCCGGAAATTATTTTGAATGAATTGCATTCTATATGTCAATGCCATACTTCCGATAAATTGTCCTGTGCAGCTTGTGTACTCAACCCAGCCCGACAAATTGTACACGCTTTGAAAAATCAACAGCTAAGAAACTTGATGTCCTCATACAGGATATCATCTATTCTAATCAACTTAATGAACGTTTTCTTCCTCAATATTACGGATTGAATGCGCCAACTCTCCTTTTAAAGATAAGTTTCATGACCATATACTGACAGGAAACTTCGATATTGTGGAAGATAAAAATCTTAAAAACCTTTTCCGCTTTGGACAACAATTTCGAAAACAACCAAGTCAAACTAATTTCAAAAAGTTACATAACAATCTCAAATCTTAAATCAGGAAATGTATAATAGCTTGGTCTGATAAATCTCGTGCACCTATAGAATCTTTTGGAGAATGGGGAAACACAGTTTTTGATCTCTTGTCAAAGACAATCAAGTATATAAAACTAAACCCAAGACGACCCCACCCGAGGTCCTAAATAACAATACATCTGCAGTTTAATGACTTGCTACTCTTCAAGAGAGATTTGTTTTAACGCCTGTCGATAAGGCTAGCAACAATATTGCTTTTACCTGTAAAAAATACTATTTTAGAAATATTCTTACTGAAGTTGGACTTTGGCTCAATACCAAAAATGAAACTTTTAAATGCATAACGGATATAACTTAACTTGATATTTTACATAATCCATATACTT